GCCATAAACAACTTTGTTTACAGCCTAATTACAATCCTGACTCACCAATACCAATTTAAAGATAGAAATAATGAATTCAGAAACAAATAGCAATCCTAATAACTTTAAGCAGAGATGCAATAAACGTACTTCAGAGTAGCCTCAGCACTTTCAACAGTAACCTTGTCATCAGTGGCATCACGATGAGGAAGGCCAAGGTCAAAGTACTTGATGTCCAATTCCACAAATGGTAAGATAAGCTGCAGATACAACAAAGAGAAAGAATCGTGTACGCAATCACCATCTTGATCAGAACAGTACGTAGTTATACAAAAAATAGCATAGGTGAAACACTTAAAGAGTATGATGTAGATACCTTGTCCTTAATGGATTTCCAGAAAACTCTTGTCATTTCATCTCCTGAAACCACATATCAAAAGACACAGAATATGAGAAAGAGTAAGGTCAAATTTCTTCGAATCTTCAACCCACGTACACAAGCGTATTAGTTTTGTAAAGTTAGATTTAAATGAAATCAACAAGTGTTCCATGCAGTGTGAGTATGAGTGTGTCGTGCATTACGAGTTCTTCACACTTTCATGAGTTGAGAATAATTTCTTCGAGTCTTTGAAACTTTTAACATATTTTCTTTACGAAAAACACTTGAAGTCTGAATCATTTATGCATCATCATAGTTCAATTCTTAAAGGCTAAAACAATTACAGAATCTGCTAATATATAGATCAAACAAAATTTAATCTATAATACAGATAAAAATTCAGCAAACAACCCTCCTAATTGAAATCAAGATTATTTTTTGTACAAATCAAATAACAAGTTAGAGCCGATTTTTTCAATTTCATGTTTTTGGGGGAAAAACAAATCATTTCTGGCAAATGGGTTTTCTTTCTGTAGCCTAAAACCAAAAGGGTTTTCGTTCTACCAACTTTTCAATGAATAAAAAATGGAAAACAAAGGTTTACAAAAATAAAAGGCACCACCTTTCCGGAAGACAAGCAAATATACATTTTGGGGACGTAAAAAATTCAGCTCAAAAAGTGATCAACCAGAACCAGAACGAAACGAAACAGAATCAGCAGATCAATCAGTTCAGATGATCGGCGACGGAAACAAACAGATCGGAGGAAATACAATATACATATAGATGGAAGGGAAATCTCACCGTCCATCTCGACGATGGGGTTGGCAACCTTGATCTTCTGGAAAGCCATTGCTGCTTCTGTTCGTCCGGGGGTGGTTGATTGGAGTTGGAAGGGTAGATATGTAGATAGGAAGGGAATGGAATGGGATCGGCGACTCTTTAAAGTCACAGAGTCGCTCGCTGAGAGAGAGAAAGTGCTTTTTTATTTTGCAAAGTCTTTGAAAGTGAAAGGCAGGCAAAACACGAAACGATGAAGCGTACGACACTCTCTCTTGTTCTTGTATTTATAGTGGGAGTTGTGAACCAATACTCAACTTGGAACTTCTGTTTCTGTTTTTTCTTATTTATTATTATTTTTAATTCTTTTGGTGATTGGTGATTGGTCATTGGGCTGATCCACCTACCGGCTTTGCTTACCTACTATACCACAAAATTTAAAGTTATTTTTAAAAGGAATTTTAACGAAAAATTCTCAGTATTTTTTATTTTAACGAAAAATTATATTTTTATATTAAAAAATTAATTCTAATACTATTCATTTTACCTTTTATTTTGTTATTTTCAAGTTCTTTTCATTAGTTTTTATTTTTTAAAATGATTGAAAACACTTTTAATGAAAATGATTTTGAAACTAATTATTAATAAAAATTCAAATGGATCTGAAAAAACAAGTGATTCCTGTAAGAATTACAAGTACGTGCTTCTTTCAAAATGCATTTAAAATATTTTCAAAACTCAAAATCAATTTTACTAAAAATCCTTTCAGTTATTTTAAAATTTCTTTCAAACAATCTCTTTAAAATTAAGAAAATAATAATAATTAATTAAATTAGGATAATAATAATAATAATAATAATTGGAGCAGCAATCATACACTGTACTTTCTATTTTATATTCAAAAGGGATATTTAGGAAAGGGATCCTTTCTTGATCCCTTTCATCGAGGCTACAAATTCAGAATTTTGAAATTTGATCTAATGATTATAAATCGAGGTTCACTTTAAAAGTTATAATAATTGTAGTCATTGGATCAAATTTCAAAGGTACGAATTTGTGGCCTTGGTGAACCTGGTGGAAGGAATTAGAAGAGGATCCCCTCCCGGGTATTTATTAGGTATATCTGAAATCACATATGCATCATAATTCAAGAATGATTTAAGGTCAACGTCAACAAAAAGAGATCAAATCTTCTGCATCTAAATATGGTTGCCGCCTCTCTATGACTTCTCTAATAACCCGACACATGTCTGTTTACTTAATTATACTATTGATAGTGTATTAACTTTCCGTTATCTCCTAAACTTGAAAAAAAAATGCCAATGATCACCAAAAATCATCCACCCTCCAAACCTTCTTCCCTACCAATCAGACACCCCCAATTTCATCGGAAATAGCCATTACTCGATTGGCCAACGCCGTTGTCCTCAGTTCATCGCCTCCGTTTCAGCATGACATCCAAGAGTGCCATATGCTGCTACAAGGCTGGGAATGCAAAAGTTATTGAAATTAAAAATAAATGTTCAATAGCAAAACAAGTTAAGTTGATGGGTTAGTTTAATAAGAAATAAGTCTTACCACTCGATTTTGTTGGTACCATCCAACTGAATCCAATTCAATCGTTTACTTATTCAATTTAAGTGAATTGAATATTATTCTATAAAAATATAACAAAGTTTAACTCTGCAAATCATAAAACATAACTTGTAGGTACGCCTCCTGAACTTCATTTCAATTTCAATTTATTCTCTGAAACTTACATTTCGCTACTTTAATTATCGGAACAATTTCATGTTGCATATCACCCAAAAATGTAGTTGTTTTTACAGAAAATTAATAAAGACAAATGGAGTTAAACAGCAGAAGCTTGCACTTCAAATGGTTACAGTTTCTTTGGGAATGTATATGCTTTCCATGTCTCATTGTAGTTCTAGTCCACCGGTCATCATCCTGGAACAATGCTTTCGAAATAGAGCAGCACGGCTGGCTACTGTATTCTCGGTAATCTTCTTCGTCATCCCAGCTGTGCTGCGAGCATGAACGTTTGATTCCTGTCTTTGGCTGTCATCACATGAACCTCTATGATCGATCCTTCCTTTTGAACAGCTTTCGAAGGGGATTTGACTTTGGTTTGATACTTTCTTTGGTGACATACAACTTACAAGCCTAGTACCTGGTCGACAAAACCTACAAAATGCGTCCAGACTCATGCAAAATCCATTTCCAAAACGCCCTCCTACCTACATGCTACGGCCAAGCTCATGCCTCTGGAAACCGCTTTGCATTTGCATTTGAGAAGAGCCAAGCAACAAAAAGAGACGCCATAAGTTTCTCTTTATCAACTCCATACTCCCACGCCACCAACTCGATACTCTTATTACTAGCTACAACCAAAATTCACCAAGCCTCAATTTACATACTACAAATCAAATCCATGCTTTTAAAATGACAGAAATCATATTTTTATTAAAGCGCTTTTGAAACCAATTCTTAATAAAAATACGAGTGAATACAAAAAAAACATTTGCAATAAGTACACAACTGATACTTCTTTCAAAAGAGAAAGACTTGGCTCCTCAAGGATTAAGGAGGAACTCCTCATTAAAATACCATGTGGTCTATTTGTGCATATGGTCGGAACCTTTTATATTATAAATAACTATGTATACTGTAAAGATCATCTCTACAAAAACATCAATTAAAACTAAGATCGTCTAGTGTTCGAACAGTAAAAAACAGACTGATTGGAGTATTACAAACTGTCTATCTATTTCTTGACAAAATGATCTTAGTTTTAATTCAATTTTTTTGCAAAGATGATCTTTACAGAGTGATTTATAATATTAACAGCTTCAATAATAAAGTACTTTGACCTTAAGGAGCCAAGCTCTTCTATCACATCCCGGGCCCGCTCCACCACCGTAGCACGATATTGTCCGCTTTGGGCTTACCATTCCCTCACGGTTTTGTTTTTGGGAACTCACGAGCAACTTTCCAATGGGTCATCCATCATGGGATTGCTCTCACGCGCTACTCGCTTAACTTCGGAGTTCCCATGGAACCCAAAGCCAGTGAGCTCTCAAAAGGTCTCGTGCTAGGTAGAGATGAGAATATACATTTAAGGATCACTCCCTTGGGCGATGTGGGATGTCACAATCCACCCCCTTTAGGGGCCCGACGTCCTCGTCGACACACACGCAGCCAGGGTTAGGCTCTGATACCAATTGTCACATCCCGCCCCGGGGCGGACCACATCCCGGGCCCGCTCCACCACCGTAGCACAATATTGTTCACTTTGGGCCCCGACCACGCCCTCACGATTTTGTTTTTGGGAACTCACACGAGAACTTTCCAATGGGTCACCCAGGGAATGCTCTCGCACGCTACTCGCTTAACTTCAGAGTTCCTATGGAACCCGAAGCCAGTGAGCTCCCAAAAAGCCTCGTGCTAGGTAGGGATGGGAATATACATTTAAGGATCACTCCCCTGGGCAATGTGAGATGTCACATCTTCTCATTTCAAAATGCACTTCAAGTGCTTTTGGAAATCACAAACACTTTTATCAAAAACGTTTTTAATCATTTTAAAAGATATTATCATATTAAGACTTTATGTCACGGGTTAGAATCTTCACCTTAGGGTTACATTGTTGCTGGAGGAGACAAATGTCATTAACAAAAATAATGTCTTGGGTGTCCAATGACAATATGGAGGGTGAATTACATAACCCAACCCAACCCACAGAAAATGTTCACGCTGGGGCAGGGCCTTGCCGCCCTTCCCATCTCTTGATATTATCTCTCATTTTTCACTATGCACTTTTTTTTTTTTTTTTTTGAACGCCCACTATGCACTATTAGTTTCGGGTTGTCAGAGGTTTTAGACTTGGTAATGGTTTTAGCATTCACAGGCAGCAGCGGAAGAAGCATGAGATACTCGCTCACTTTCTCAAACCCACACTCGCACTCGCACTCGCACTGCTTACCTTCTCCTCTGCTATTCCAGTCCTCTCTCCCGCAGCGCTTCAACCTACACTCCATGGCGGTGAAGTCAATCAAAAGGGTTCGTTGTGAGCTCCAAGCCAAAGTCAATGGCGCTCTTTCCGCAGACTCCGACCCTCGTTTCGTCGACCGGGTATGGTTTCGAAAACCCTTTGCGCGTTTTCGCCTCTATCTTCGTTTTTGCTTCCCAAAAGCAGAAAAGTGCTTTTGAAGAGGCATCAGTGATTACCCACAAACGCGAATGCAGAAAGACTAAAACTTTGAGCTAAAAGTAGATAAAACTCTGATTACCAAAGTGCTTTTTATTTCAGCAAAAAGCACTGGAAGCAGCCATGAATGATATAAATAGCTCATTTGGGAAGGGAAGTGTTACAAGATTAGGAAGTGCTGGTGGAGCCTTGGTGTATGTGCTTCTTATCTCCTTGTCATATCATATCAGTGCTAATGTAGATTATCTAATACTCTGTTGGTTTTGCAGTGAAACTTTTCCCAGTGGCTGCTTGACATTAGACCTTGCCTTAGGTGGTGGCCTTCCAAAAGGGAGAATTGTGGAGGTATGTCCCCATTGTATGCTTTCATGCTTGCTAAGTTACACTTGCATCCGGTCGGGATTGGAATTTAATGCTGTCCTTCATGCTGTTCTACGTGTGGAGAGGTTTTGTTAAGCCCAAAGACCAATTTCTAATTTTCCTTCCCTTTGCTTTTCATGATCGAAGACGGGTTTGTTTCATTAGAAAAATTGATTAGCTAACTGCTGTGCGAGATGTTTACTTGATAATTTGATATAGAATATCTGGTAATGTTCTTGTCAAACTAGTATGCCCCTGCAGTTACTGGATTCACAATTGTAATCAATATGGTATGTAATGCAGACCATAGAAACCTGGAAATTTGGGATCCTGTGAAAGGATTCAAGGAAACGAACAACTGTAGACAGAAAATCTGGAGTGAGGAAAGAACTAGACAATCAACGAGAGCAGAATTAATTACTAGTAGGTCCTATACTTATGACTTTAGCACTGTAAAACCAATCAAAGAGAAGTAAACAGCTCAAAGAATACATTCATAAGTCAAGTTTTAAAATTTTGTTTTATTTTTATTTTTATTTTTATTTTTGTGTAAGAGCCAAAAAGATGTTTAATTTATCGACAAGTGCAACCATCATGATTACTTGTAGTTTTTAATAAAGACACAATCACCCAATAAACTGCTCTTCTTTAGTTAGCAAAGTTTATTTCAACTATTAAAGCATATAGTGGTTCGTCCATATTGCTTAAGCACTAGTGCAGCTCAATACTTTGGCATGATATGCGGTGGGTGAACTTGACATACTACTTAAGCTTTATGGTCATGTGGAAATTTCTCCTAATGACTTTCATTTTGTTAGACTAATTGGAGTAGTGTAATTAGTGGGCTTCCTGTCGTCCCAAGGAAGTAGTTTAGCTCCTTCCTTATTTGGATCAGTAGTTCCTGCACAAAGTGCTGATTTATCTTTGTATTGTTTCTAGATATTTGGACCAGAAAGCAGTGGAAAGACCACTCTAGCACTCCATGCAATTGCAGAGGTGCAGGTATAGTTTTCTCAACTTTCGTCTGGAATCTTTAGTTTCTGGTTACTGAATACTGGCTTCTTTCTTCTCTGGACCAACATGTAGCTTTTTGATGGTAATATGCAGAAACTTGGGGGAAATGCTATGCTTGTTGATGCAGAACATGCTTTTGATCCAGCATATTCAAAAGCACTGGGTGTAGATGTAGAAAATCTGATTGTCTGTCAGCCTGATCATGGAGAAATGGCACTTGAGAGTAATATTTCTTTTCTGTCTGCATGTTTGTGGGGATTTTTTTTCTTTCTTTTTCTTCTGGAAAATGATTGTTTGTGGGAAATTATGCCATTATCTTGAACTTATTCAGTCTGTCAATAGCAGGATGCATAATATTAATACATATAGTATATTCTTGATATAATAGTTTGATTTCTGTCATCTCAGTTGCAGATCGTATGTGCAGATCTGGTGCCATCGATCTTATCTGTGTTGATTCTGTCTCAGCTCTCACTCCACGAGCAGAGATTGAAGTAACCTTCTCTTTATCTTGTAGTTATAAATTTTAGATATGCAATTTCACATATCTCACTTTCTGATCTTGCTACGTATAGGGTGAGATAGGGATGCAGCAAATGGGTTTGCAAGCACGTCTTATGAGCCAAGCTTTGCGCAAAATGTCAGGAAATGCGTCCAAAGCTGGATGTACTCTAATATTTTTGAATCAAATAAGATATAAGGTAGTTTCAATTAATTTTGTTTATATCTTCTCTTTTGTGGATGGTACATACTTGAATTCATTGAAACAAGATTGAGTGCATATGTCTAAGGAACTGAGTTTGAGCATTAAAGTTTTGACATATTTATGATGACATATATCTGGATCCATTGCAATAAATGATATTGAGTACCTTGGTCTAAGAAGCTGAGCCTGCGTCAATCATTTTTCTAATGTATATGATTGTAATTGTTTCTCAGTTTTTATTAGTTGTTATTTCCCTAATCACAATTATTTCACTTCCAGAAACTAATAGATTAATTCCTTCATTTTGCAAGATCGGTGTATATTATGGGAATCCAGAAGTGACATCTGGAGGAATTGCATTAAAATTCTTTGCCTCAGTTCGGCTTGAAATACGTTCTACAGGGAAGATAAAGTCTGTAAGCACAATAGCCACTTTTTTTTTCATTTCATAATAGTGATTTGATAGATTAATATAATATATATTTATTTGTGTAAATCATCAAATAGAGTTTGATCTATATTGTTTCTCATAGAACATACTTCTGTACTGAGTAGGTAAAGGGAGATGAAGAAATTGGGGTTCGGGTTCGTGTAAGAGTGCAAAAGAGTAAGGTAACTTTCAGTACATCAGAATCACTTCTGCATTTGTAAGGCTTGTGCACCATGCATGGAAGGAACACTTCTATTGTTAACTTAATGATGAAGTTGTTATTGCAGTTTTACTAGAACTTCAGAACTGGTTTAAAGTATGAAAATGTGACAGTTTCTTATATATTTGGTCTAATTTCTCAGATTTTTTTTATTTTATTTATTTATTTATTTTATTTGTACCGAATCTACGCTGTGCTTGAAGTTCAGCCTGTGACCATGAAAATATATGAAACAGTCAACAAACCAAATGTACACTAGAATATCTAGCTAAGGTCAGAGTTTTCTGTCAAAAGCCATTTATCCCATTTGATTTTTCAGATACAATGGGAAATGTTAGACTGCATTGGCTAAATGATTTTGTTATCATATTTGCATACATTTTAAAAAGACTTTTGTTGACCGCCTCCTGAGTCCCAAGTTTTGATAGGATATTATAAATATGGGCTGTCACTTTATCGTTCCATCGTTTAATTTTCACTACTTTATTACGTTTCTGATTAATGTGGTGAAAAGATCCTTATCCTAAGTTGTTGTAGGTTTCAAGACCATACAAACAAGCTGAATTTGAAATTGTATTTGGAGAGGGAGTTAGTAAATTGGTCAGTATTGCAACATATTTGATTTTCCCCACTCAGAAGGTTGAAAACACACTCTATTTTGACTCATTCTCTCTTTCAGGGTTGCATCTTGGATTGCGCTGAAGCTATGGATGTAGTAGTGAGGAAGAGTTCTTGGTATAGTTATGGGGACCACAGGTCTGTACTTGAACATCCATTTTCAGGTTATAATTCTTAAATTTGTAGTTATATGTTGAGCGTTCTTAGTCTAGTTTGGATACTAGATCGAATAGGACTCTTCTTCAAAATACTATTCATATTAGGAAAGAAAAGAGTGTAAACCAATGAACCAGTAGCGTTTGATTGATAAACTTGAGTGTTTTGTTTAAGGAAAACATGCTTTTATAGGTTTTACTGGGTCCTAGGTGCAACGGTGAGGCAGAGGGTGTGGCCTTTTTTGATTTGTGTTTATGCACTAGACACAGGTAATTTTTTTTTATTTAAAAAAACTTTCCTTTTTGTTTCCGAAATAACTTTGATCAACCAACACTAGATGGCTAGATGTTTTACAAATGAGCTGCCTCAAAATTTTGGATAACTCCTTTGTGAGATGAAAGGTGGAGATTTGCTTCCTCTGTGCTAACTTTAGGCTTTTATTCTTCTAACTTCTTTTTGTTCCTGTTATGACCTGGTTTAGTTTCTTTCAAATAACTCAAGAATTCTCCTGTTTATAACCGTTACTCTCTCTCTATCTCAACTATAAAACTGTTGCAGTTAACGACTGGCTTTTATTTCTTATATCAAAAGGTTAGGACAAGGAAGAGACAAAGCATTGCAGTACTTAAGAGAGAACCCTCTTCTTCTTGATGAAATAGAGAAGGTGGTCTTTCTGATTTCTAATATTAACTGAAACTTGATGCTATACTCCAGATTTTTTACTTAATCAATACATTGTTTCTGGTTGTGTATTTCGAGTGGTCAAGTAACCTGCATTGTTTGGACGGTATACTTTGCTTCGTTTTCGTTCAGTATGTGCAAGGAATAAAATGAAAATGTGGTTATCATATGCCGTCAATACTGTGAATTATGAATTTATGAACATACCATGATGGTCGAGTTCAACATTTTAATGGATGTAACAAGACAAGAGGCAAGTCCTATCCCTAATTCATCATACTATGTTTTCAAATAGTCACGAAAATTTATTGAGGAAAGTTGGTGCTATTATCTGTTTTGAGGGGAACTAGGGGTAAATGTATAAAACCTCAATGTTCATACGTTTTAATGAAATATTTCAATGTCGTCTTTTAGTGAATTTCATAGTTATCTTTGAAGGTGGGATATGAAATGGAGTGCGCTGTCTTTTGGGAAGAAACTGAACAGTTCTGAAATGTACATGCAGATAGTTCGCTCCATGATGATAGATGGAACCGGACAAGTAGGCTCATTTCAGACAAGTAACTTGCCAATTCCCCAACACGATGAAGATGATTTCGAAGATATCCAATGAGGAGAAAAGGGATTCGTTGTCACTGTTTTCTGTTCTGGATCAAGGTAAAAGAAGTTTCAGATATTGCAAAGGAACAGCACCAGTTTGCTCCACTCGCTCCGCATCAAATGCAAGACCGGGGATTTTGACAAGTTGACATCAGTTTCTGCCTGACCCTGATTCAGTTCCAGACCAAAAATGTTGGCAGACATAAAGGAAGTATACTCCTTTTGTAATTTTGTGAGAACATAAATTTATGGGGTAGGAGATGTGGGTCGGGCGATGGGGGTCGTCTTTCAAACTAACAGGCTTATTTGCCAATTTGAGTTGTTATTTCGTTGGTTTGATATCATTCATCAAGTATTTGCTTTCATGTTCACATAAAGCATGCGTTTGATAGATGACATGACAGATGTAGACTCCACATATTTTCTTACATAGTTGTCAAATTTGTCACGTCATTATTTAACGGTAAATTGACAGAAAATCTAATGTAGGTCTGAAATTTCAATGGATTTGTAAGTTGATGTATGACATTACAATATTTAAAAGATAAGGTTTGAGTTGTTGTATGACCTAAGGTTGAGGTGGTAAAATGTAATTTACTCCATCTTTTTTCTTGCATAATCATTTTCAAACTTTCGATTTCCTTGACGCCGAATTAGGTATTGGTAATGACTCAAATCGTCATAAAACTGTCAAAGTATACAGTTCATCGAGTTCCAACGTTTCCATTAGCATTTGGATCCAGTCCTGGCTGCTCGAATAAATATTGTTTGTGTCGAGGGATCAAGATAATTTAAGTGATCCCTTAAACAAAATTCCCAATAGCAATTTAGCATTTGAATCGAGGTTCGACACTGATGAATAAATTTGTTTGATATAAAAATAAGCTCGGTAAATGATAGTAGTGGACTGTTCGCTACTTGCATGAGTTAATATAAGCAAGAAAGTTGCAGGTTCAACCCCCTCTCCCCCTCATGCAAGTAGTGGACTGTCCCGTGTCTAGGTTGATATGGCCTTTCTTTTTAACCTACTACATCTCGGGTTCAACCCTCTCTCTCCCTCCTCTCTTAGCATAACTTAAAAGTCGTAGCATCGAACAACTTTCAACACAAAACAATTTGATTAGTGCTAAACAGCGGCTAACAGTTTTAGTTGTCTAACCTCGATTGCTAAATGATGAAGCTGCTTATAACTTATTAGTGAGTGCGAGTTAGGGCTGGTTTGGTATTGCTGTGCTTTGAAAAAAAGCTGCTGTGAGAATAAGCGGCTGTGCTGTGAGAATAAGCGGCTGTGAAATAAAGCCAGCAAAGTGTTTGGTAAACTTTTTTGTAAAAGTGCTTTTGGAAACAAAAAGTAGTATCATAGTGTTTGGTAAACTTTTTTGTAAAACAGCTGTGACTGTGTGAAATGACCAAAAAGGGTATATTACTAGATGTGCTATTAATTTAATTTTCTTAACAAATAAAAGTGAATTACTAAATATATTTTATTTTTAGAAGAAAAATATTTATAAACTTTATCTTAAATATTAATTAGTATGACAAACTACTTTAATAGAAATATTTTAGAGTGAATAGCTAGGATTCATTAGTACAATATTGTTAATGTACTTGAAAGTAGTCTAATTAGATGCATTCATCAAACTTGTTGCTATTCTATTTCTTAATGCTTCTATCTCATGTGATCCTTCAACTTGATAATTTTGATATTCATCATCATCATCATCACTACTATCGCTTTCTTCACAAAAGTCCCTGGGGTCATCAAAATGACGATCACGTTCAGAATACCTCCGTATGTAGTTATGAAGAGCCATTGTAGCAATGACAATCTTCACTTGCTTATTGAACGGGTAATTAGGCATATCCCTTAAAATTGCCCATCTTTTCTTCCACACACCAAAAGTTCGTTCAATGATGCTCCTAAGAGAAGAATGCCTGTGGTTGAATACCTCTTTGTGACCCGTTGGTTCGGCACCCCTACGAAACCACATGGGTGCAAAACACGATTGTCCTTTCTCCTTTAGGGCTAAGAATTGAACTCTTACCCTAGATATGATGAGATTCAATTGCTCCCTTGCTGGACAAAGCCCAAGGCAGCAGCATTCTAGCTCAATTTTTTAGTGGAATCACCTTAATCTCCTTCTCTTCTCCAAAACACGGCAATATAAAGACATGAAAGAGAACCCGGCTCGTACGCCGGGCTCAAGAGGACGGTTGCCCTAGGAAAGGGCCTTGAGCCTCAAATTGAATCATCCAAAACGCAGTCAAGAAAATGGCCTGAGGCCACTAACAAAGTCTCAAATCGCACAAAACTACTAATGTTGTTCAACTTATAGAATAGCTCATGGCTTTGAAGGTTCGGTGCAAGTTCACCGTGAACTCAAGGGTTTAACAAGAGCGGACAATGATCAACAAATCCGCAGTTACAACTTCAATCGTTCAACTACTAAGCAAACTTTGGACTAATCGTGACCCAGATGAGCATAGGATTTTAGGCTCCACAAGCTTTCAGAAAGCTAGCTCCCATTTTCACCAAGATATTTACATAGCTAGCCTTCCATTTATTTCACCGGGCATTTTCCCTCCGGCGCACGTAACGGGTTCTATCATTGTACCTTGGTCTGTCCTGAGCTCTTGACGGCTGTGGCTCCACCCTCCTCTGCCTTTCAGGCGACCTTTGAACAATTTCTCCATTCACAAACAACTCAGCTGCATTAAAGAAAGTTACAATCATGAGTTACAAGAATAGGTTGCATTTAGAAGTTTGAAAATAATTGAGAGAGAATGAACAAATTGCAGAACAAGCATCCATTTAAATGTTAACTAAACAAACTTCTAAAAACGATGTCTTTCCAATTTTTGAAAAATTAATGTTAGTCAATAACCAACATATTGGAGGCTGCAACTTCATAAACACAAACCCAAAGAAAGATGAATGGCATCAAAATTGCACGACACTAAAAAAATCTTATAGAATGTTTCATCTCCACTGATCTGCATTTCCACATAGTATAAGAAGTACAGGAGAGTCGAGAGAGACATTTGATATAAGTCCATTAGGATTCAAAGTTAAATAATGCCTATATGGCCTATTTAACTTCTCCAAGATGGATGACGAATCTTGAAAAGAATGCAGGCGAACTGTAACCTATAGTAACCTATACAAATAAAAAAGGAAAACAGATAGTCTTCCATCATTCAATTGGATAGTTGAAAAAGTAAAACTACAGCTTTGAGCTCAAAACCGACACCATGTCTCTTCAAGCAACTTCTATGTTGAAATGTGGGTGCATGCGGATTAAAATTAGAACACACGAGATCTGAAATCACAGTGCTTAAACTTTAGATCCTTAAACACTTACCACCATAGTCTTTGTATTCAGGATCAACATAAGAATCTGGAAGAATAAAAAGAACACCGGGCAAGCCTGATAACAAGAAAAGAATCATAAACATGCATAAACAGTATGCATAATCTACTAATTATACTTAGAAATTATAACATAGCTGCAATTTAACAGCACAAACCTTCAAGCTTATTTGAGGTCTCCTCATCAATCTCACAACCAAAACCGAAATAGCGGTGCCATTTCAGTGGGTGGACGGTCGCTGAAGTTGGAACCTGAGTTAAGGGGCGAGTAAGAACCACCAGAGCGGTTGACCCGGCAGCGGATTGGAGTGTAGCGGATGGTGGCGGTAGGGAATCGGACGGCGTGGGAGAGAGGGGCAAGGGATCGACGGCCGAGCACGAGGGATGGGATGGAGGGAGGTTGGGTGAGTCTGGAAGTGGAGAAGAGGCGTTTAGGTATGAGGAGAGAGATTGTGGGGTGCCGAGTGGTTACGGTGATGGTGGCGGCGGCCATGGCAATTGCTCGGACAAGGGTTTGAACCATTTTTGAGGGAGAGTTCAAAGCAAATTATCCCTGACATATACCCAAATCAGAATCAGAAGCAGACCTTTTTTGTTTCCTCCACAAACCCTAATTTTTTTCCCCAATTAATTTTTTCCACAAACCATATCACCCTTCCCCAATTAATTTTTCCCCACCCTCCATCCCCAATTGTTTTTCCCGACACCCATACCCTCATCCCTTTGCTCTTCCCACCCCTCTTTCCCTAATCTCCCCATCCCTAATTTGAAAAATCCAAACAAATAAATGAGAAGCTTACCTGGAGAAACCTGGAGAACGAGAGAACGAGTTCGCTAGTTTTTGGAACGACGGAACGAGAGAACGAGAGAACGAGAGAGAGCCTGAGGTTCGGGTTATGCGAGAGAGCTCTGAGGTGAAGAGCGTGCGAGAGAGTTCTGGAGAAAGGCGAGAGCGTCGGTGAAGGGAAAGCCGAGGGCAGTTTTGGGTTATGGTATATTTCATTAAACGTGGACACTGTTCACCCGTGTGTGGGTGAAAATAAGCTGCTTTTGGAAGCTGCAAATTGCAGCTTCTTGTCATCTCTTGGTTTTGGGCTTTTTTTCACCCTCAACTTTGAAACAAAGCTGCTTTTCAAAGTTTACCAAACACCAAAAATTTTCATAGCTTTTTTTCATAGTAGCTTTTTTTTTAAGCACCTCAATCCCAAACAGGCCCTTAGTACTTTGGATTCGGATTAGAGTTTTAATTTTAAGAATTACTGATGAAAATTAATAAGAAATTGATGAGCTTGATGTCTGAAGAAAGGAGGAGTACTTTGCTCCTTGGATTCGATTACGCTAAGAGAGGAATGAGGGAGATGACCGTTGCAACTCCACTCGCGTCTATTACATGAGTCAACTCACGTGTACATTTTAATCCACTAAGTTGCTATAACAGCGGGCATAAATCCAGCCTATGAGCTAGTTCTAATCCTAGCCGGCCATTACAATAAGAACAAAAACATGACGCACTGATAGGGAGCTCAAGGAACGGAGCAGTTCCTGCTTGGAAACGTTGCATGAAATAAATCAAAAACATGAACAAGAAGAAGAAGAAAAAACCTCAATTCCGTAGCGTAGAAGAAATCTCTACAAAGCTTATGTCTCAACCCGTCATCCACTCAGAAAATTACTTTTTTATCAGTTGTTATACACAACCATGTTTCTATCTTTGTCATTGCGTCTTTATAACGTGACACACTAGCATGTATATTTGGCGGCTCCCTAAACGGTTTCAGAATATATATAACCTTGATTGACGCGTGTTTTTCGGCACATATGTAACTAGTAATTCATAAGAAAATGATAATTTTGGGAAATATATTGAGTGAAACTATGAAATTTAATGATGTTTATCCTTAAAAAAAAAGAGAAGAAACAAAGAATCCGTTTCTCCATAAAGGTTAAACTTGTTCATAATGGTGGTCTGAGGGGATCTGAATGTGCAGCCAAGACTCTACTGTCTTCACCATTTGGCGGGAAAGTTAGGAAAGTAATGTGTCTTCTATATTTGTTTGAAATACCTTCTGCACTTTTGGTAATTTGCTTCAGAGAGCACAGAGCCCCATCGATTCTCATGGATCTCATCTTCTAATTTAGCAGTGAATTGGGCTTAGTTCATTACTCATTAGGTAATTTGTGTCAATTTGGTATT